ATTTTTATTAATGATATTTTAAACATAAAATAACGTTTGTGGATTAAAAGCTTACCAGTATACTTTTTTAGTTGGTTATGTGCATCACATAAAAAATTTACATGCTATTTTTATGGCCTATAACCTATTTTATGTGTATATTGACAGTCCTGTGAACCTGCGTTTCTCAACCTCGGGAGAATTCCCTTTATTAGTTCTTAGTATTTTATTAGCTTTTAAGTATTTAGATTTAGTTTATGATTTAAATACTTAGTTTTAGCTCATGAATATAAAAAAATACTTTCATTGAAGTTTTAATATTTATCAGCACTTTTTATAGTTTAGTTTATAAAACACGTTAAAAATAATCTGAATAAATGTATAAATGTATTTTTCGTGTTTTGAAAAGGAGGGAAGGACAATGCTAGAAACTGTATTTTAGCAATATTATGAAAGGGGTGCATGGGGCAAAATACGTTGAGTACCATTGGTATATACGATATTATTTTAATTTATTATTTTGAGGGGTATTGCTTTTGAATATCTTTAGTTTCTTAAACGATAATGGAAAGATAAACTTGAAAAACTAAATATCTTACGCTTTGCCGAATGGCAGCATACTGGCGTGTGGAGGATAAAAGATTCAGTTTCGGGCAGTGGCAACACAAGTTGATTAAAACTTAATGGCAAATATTTTAACGCATTGCCGAGTGGCAACATACTTCTCTTAAATCACTGAATCTGATAATCAGTATTTCATTAAATTTGTTCAAAGCATAAAATACATAAGAAAAACAAATTCGAAATTCAAAACTGAAGCTTCGGAGGTGCACATTCTTGTGTGGAGGACTATGTTCAAAATTTTATGGATCTAGGCGCCACCGTTTTCCCCCGAGGAACATGCATTAACATACTGTACATACACATTCGTCGCTATTTAATAAAAGAGATAAGGTTCAATTAGTATGGGATACCACAGGATTTGGCGACATTAGTATGAGCCGTAAATGCCCCATTTAATGATGAGCAGGAAAGGGGTTATTTTGGTGTTGGCGACAATTTTCAAAATCGCGCTAAGGCGATACCGTATACTAGGATTTTACCAGAGTCGGTTTCCTATTTAATGCATAAAATCATATTTTTATGTATATAGCTATGAATATAGTTTTAACTTCATGTAAAATTTGATTTGCTGTGTAGACCTCGTATGAACCTTTTCGCAGTTTTCCTACACAAATGAACTAAATTTTCAGAAGTCATGCATTTGAATTTTATTCATTTAATTTTTAGATATATTTGAATATTAAAAAATAATGAGCATATACATTCATTAAGCCACTTACGTGAGTCGACTTTTTCATACTGAAATCTGATGATGATGTATATTTCTTACTGCAACTCAAATTTCTGAAAACAAAAAATGATACTAGGCGCTTTATGAAAGCTGGCTATCAGTCAAACGTAGAACCATTTTTTAACGCGAATTATCCTAAAATGGCTGCTATCCGAAATAGCACTCCTTTTTTCTACTGTCGAATAATGATTACCACGTTTGGAATAATCAGTTTAATCCAAAGCACAATGAGCATTTATTTGACAATGATACTTCATCCGAAAAATAATGTACATTCAAAAATAAATTACATCTGGTGCCAAGTATATTAAAGCAAACGAATTTATTTTATCAAGCATATCTTTTAAATAAATTTAGCCATTCGCAGCTCTATTCACAATTCACACGCCCCCATATCCGGCTTCAAAGTATTCCGCCAATAAAGACTAGATATAAAACATGAAGCACATTAAGTAGGTGTGGCGTATACATTAGAAACGAATTAAAGAATCTTTATGGCTGAAAATTCACAGCAATTAAGCGTGTCTGTTTAAACTCAATCCTTATTTTGTGGGGGGGGGAGTGAAAGTGTGCTGAATAGCTCATTTTATTTATTTTGTGAAAAGTAGAGGAAGTACTTGACGTAGAGTGTTATATTACAGATGCAGCTTAGTATAGTATGGCTATAATATAATCAATGTGTCTGTTCATAATACCATACATTCATAGGATTAAATAATATGTTTGTCATTTAATGAAATGTAAATGTGAAATTATTCTAGGCACAGGTTGACATTTTTGCCGTTTTACGGGAACAAATTCTTATCTTATTTTTACAAAAATAATAAAATATGTACAGTGAATCCTCTCCTGGTGACCTCTGAAAAGTGCCTCTGAAAGTGACCATAATTTTTTGAAGGGTAATCAATCATCAGAGAAACACTTCCTATATAAGACCAAACTCATTTGTACCGACTGTTCGTCTTAGAGAAGTACATTTATTTCATTTACTTAGAAATTTCAAGATGTGACAAACTAGTACAGATGAAACCTCTGTTAAATCACATTTATGACCACTTTACACAAGGGATGAGCAACCTTTTTTTTTAACAATTGGCCAATTAAGAATTTAAAAATTTTGTGCAGACCGGATGTAAGAAGCGTATTAAAATATCAACATTAGATCATAAAAACAAATTATCTTTTCATTAACGAAATAAGTAAAATACAAATCTTATAAAAATAACACAAACAAAACATATAAAAAATATTATTAAAAAACAACTAAAGATAACTCATAACAAAATTCTTAAATCAATTTTAATCAGAAGTTTAGCATTACTTCTTTGTAATCAGTTGGTCTATAATAGCAGATACAGACAACACAGCAACTTGCACGCTGCTTTCATTTAGCCTCGATCGTGGAAAATAATCGCTAGCAAGATAAATTCTTCCAAAATGTGTCAAGATCTGCATTGCATGCGTAACTGATCGTGGAAGCTTTTCAAAAATAATGAAATTTTTGAATGTCCACATTCTAATATTTATTTCCAAAATCAGTGTTGTTTTGTAAATCTATCAGTTCCATTTGTAACTCATATGAGTATAAAATGACGAACTCATTTACTCAATGTTAAACAGACTTGTCCCTGTATGTTTACTTTTCCGAGATAGCTTATCTCTCTAGAATTTTCATGTTACATAACACAGAAAAAAACAAAAATTTCACATATAATTATTCACTAAAATTACCTACCTATGTTCAAAATTCGTAATATTGCCTTTTTCCCAAGGACTGCACGTCCCGGGTAGTACAATCCCTGGACAGGAAGCCATACTTACAACTAAGAAAAATCAGTATAATGCTAAAGCAATAATTTCAGTTAATAACAAATCAAAATACTAAATCAATAACTGATTACTTAAACTTACAAATTTAGAAACAAATAGGATGATGGTCTTATACTATTATTTACATTATATACACTACATGTACTATGGCCATATGATGAGGTTAGCCTGTCATAACGAACGATTTTAAGCTTAAAATTCGGTGACTTACGGACCCGAACTACGTTATTCAACCTCTTTAGAATTGTGTAAGGGCCACCCCAAGGTGTAGTTTAGGAAAGAGTCCTTTCCGTCAAATTGGATTCCACAATCACACCTTGTCACCTCCGTTGAATCGATGTCATGTAGCTATCGTGTTGTGTGAAGGCTTCATCTTCTCCGTCGCCAAGTTGACTAGCTGTCGTGCAAAATCGTGCATAACTTCAAACCGTGTCTGGAGGTCTTAGTGTAGTTGGCGTAGTTTGGAGGGCGACCAAACAAGAGATTACAAGGCAGACGAAGTCACCGAAGAGCATCTGAGATGGGGAATAGCCGGTAGTCTCGTCGATAGCACTGCGATACGCCAGTAGGAACAGTTACAATTTCTTGTCCCAATCATTTTGGTTTCTGAACACCACCAACGAGAGATTATTAAGGATAGTTTTATTAAACGTATCTAGCATGTCGTTTGACGGGGCATGTAAGGGTGTCGTTTCAGTTTTCTCGATATTACGTAGCTTGCAGAGTTCTTTAATTGCAGCCGAGATAAAATTTCTTCCTTGATTTAATGTAACTAAAGAGGCACTCCGAACCTGGAAATCCAATGCTGCATCATTACCTCTGCTATCGTGATCAGGAATAAGGTAATCAATGAATCACTTGGTGAAGTAATCAATGACTACGAGGAAGTATTTGTTGTCATCAGCAGTTCGTAGCAGAGGTCCCAAGATGTCAAAGGCGATACGCTCAAAAGGTGCTCCTACATTGTAACGTTGCAGCTTCCCTCGGCTGCGTTTTTTCGGTCCTTTCCCACTAGCACAGGCATCGCAAGATTGGTACCACTTTTGCAAGTCATCCTTTGCATTACTCCAGCTCTCGAAATCTGTGCTGTTTTCATTATTTCGAAGTGGCCTCTTGTAGAGCTGCTATATAGTTCTTTAAGAACGTTCGCGATCAGGGATCGTGCAAGTATCAGCTGCTATCGAAATGCCTTTTCATTATCTGATTCAAACTTCTGGTACAAGACGCCGTTTCGAATATGAAGTGTGTCTCAGACAGCCCAATATAGTTTTTTCTTAGAATAGATCGAAATGTCCTGCCAGATAGGTTTTTATGTTTGATGATTCCATTAAGTCAATTATTTAATGTCGCCATCTTCCAGCTGGATTTTCCTGACTTCTTTGTCACTCCATGGGTCTCGATCAGCCGATGGTGATGATGTAATTTGTCGTGCGACCGGAAAGCAAATAGAATTTCGCTTCTCGACCCTGGAACAATATCAGGAGCTTTCTGGGACCGGTCTTCTAGGCAGGGATTCGGCATTTCCATGTGATGATCCTTTCCGATGACTCGGGAATTTTGAAATTTAAGGCCAGGTTAACAATGCATGATCTGTGCTGAGCAGGAGTTTTCTGCTGTTAAGATAATGATTACACACTTGCTCCACTACGCCACGACACGTTCTTGAACTTTATTTCTTAGGACAAAATAACACCGACACTCTCATTGCTCATAGCCGTGTCCTGAATAAATCCCCCCGGGGTTGACTCAGGCGAACGCCTGGGAAGTACTGGTTAGGATCTGTACCTAGGCAGTGTCAACCACGGGGGTAAATAATTTGACTTCACAGGACTAGAGCCCGAGTATTGTACTCAGGTTGGTTCAGGCTTGGCAGGGACCGTACTGGTACTGTCGTGTCTGTTCCTCCGGCTGTGGTGGAGCTATATGATTAGATAGTTTTGTGGCCTTCTCGATGGGGGTTCAGCCCTCAGAGTTCCAGTGACGGGGACTGACAGAGTAAGGCAAGGCACCGAAATGAATTTATACGTTGCCGAGTGAGTGGTGTGCCCCAAGGCAAAGGTGACATAGCGTTCTAATCTTACTGCATAAGCGACATTTAATTTTCTCGTCCTGCTGAGGCTATGTATAAAGCCGGGCAGGGACTGTGGGGCCTGCGCAGCCACTGAGGGGTCCTACGTGACCCGGATAGTAATCTCGTAAGGAATCCCAAGTCGAGGATCTAGTTATGGAGCACTTGTCCTGAATAAATGGTTTGTCGAGCTGAGGATATGTCAGAATCGGAGCAGATGTTAAAGCTTCTTTCAGGTTGTTAAATGCGTCCTCACATTCTTTAGTCCACAAAAACGCTTGCTTGTTCTCTGCCAATTTCTGAAGAGGTCTTGCGATGGAAGAGATGTCCTTCACAAACCTCCTATAGTAGGTGCAAAGCCCCAGAAAACTTCGCAGCTGATGCGCATTTTCGGAGAGTTTCCAGTCTATCTGCTGGATCCTTTGGCAGAGATGACATGTCCAAGGTAAGTCAGGTCCTATCTGCATAGTTTACATTTGGCGGAACTTTTGGATTGTCTTCCTTCAGTTTCTGAAGCACCTTTCAAAGATTTCCTAAATGTTCTTCAAAACGCTCCCCGACGATGTCATCCAAGTATATCAGTCAGGCTTCGTAGGAAAGAGCTCTCAACACGGTCTGCATGTGGCGTTCGAATGTTGCCGGGGCATTACTTAACCCAAACGGCATCAACCTGAACTGCCAAAATTCTTGTCCGGTAGTTAAATGCGGTCTTTTCGCGGTCATCAGGGTGTATCTCTACCTGTCAATATCCCCTCTTTAAATCACGGCTCGAAAACACTTGTTTCCAGAGTGTCCAAAATATCGTCAATTCTAGGAAGAGGGTAGCTGTCATTCTTCGTAACCTCATTCAACCGGCGATAGTCAATGTAATATCTAGTTGAACCAATTTTCTTTCTGACAAGAACGATGGGCTTGCTAAAGGCGCGATAACGTCGCTTTCTCGCATGTACTTTAGAAATTTCCCTACCTTTTCCTGTTTAGTAATCGGTTGACGTCTTGGATGTTGCTTGATTGGTGTATGATCTACAGTATCGATTCTATGCTGTGTCAAACTGATTCAACCTACGTCAGAAGATTAGCGGGAGAAAACAGCTTGAAATTCTTGAATGACACGTTCGGCAGGATTTCTATGTTCAGAGCTTAGTTGCGTATTCTGCAATAACTCCGATGGCACAGATTCAGGAGGGTCACTGTTTCGTTAACACAGATCACTCGAGTACATGCTGCAACCACTTCAGCTTTAAGCTTTCCAAATGATTTTTGCTTATGACTGACGCTGGCAACTCTCACCCGGATAACTCTTCTCGATAAGTCGACGAAGTGCGGAGGCTACTAGTACTATAGTTCTTGGGATATTCCATAACACAGTACCTTAAATTTCTGTCTTCGGCTATAGATCCAGGAAGTGGAAATTCTGTTCTTGCTTGTATTGTCATATCTTCTTGAGCTATGATTTTGTGGACAGATTTAACTCCTTCGTCATTAATTCCGAATGGGGTTATGTCTTCAAAGGCAGAATGCAATTCGTTATTTTTTAAAGTTCAAGAAAAAATTATATTTCCTTAAAAACTCTAATCAGAGTATGCAAGGATCTGTAATCTATGCCACATATGCCGTATGATGGTAAGCGACACTTCTAAACGTGATGTTAACGTTTAATTTTCCGTCGCAGGACTTCAGGAACACTGCTATATTCTAACTTAGCACATGCACAGGCTTACTTTCTTAAGAAGGAACAAGAAATCGAATTATTTTTAACTACATGGAGGAATAAAACACACTGTAATGTATATTTTAAATTCGAATTATAGCCATACTTAGAAGAACTCAAAAAAAATATCTATAATACACATGGAATTAATATTCAACTAGGACTTGGAAGCGTGTTTCCTTTCTCCCAGTTTGGATTGTATTTTCTTTTTCAAAATTCATCATCATTATTGTTTATGAGTCAACATATTCAATGAAAATACGCGTTCAAATGGGAATGATCTAATTTAATGCTGAACTCTTACAGCTTTTTGAAAATTATATTTAATTTATTATATATAGCAAATAAAATCCTGCATAACAAGAAATATTGACAGGAATTCCAAATAATGATCCAACTTAACTTAAACGTTTCAACATATTAATTCTAACTTAAAATACGCATTTCAGACCGACATTGAACTCTCAGGCCTTTTTAAATATATTTGACATTTAATTTTCAATGGATAACAAATAATGCGTAAATACCATACATATTAGATACTATTGACAAGAACTTTATATAATGATCCAACATAGTAGGTAACTTAAACGTAAATACATTTTAGTGTGAATTAGTTTTACAAAGGCCATATTCTCAAGGAAGCATTATTTTAATTAAGCACCTAAGCAAAACAATTCTTTGAACATATATAATATTTAATTTCTCATCAAGATCATACAAGTAAATAAAATACATTCCTTAATGTACTAAACACGTTATTTCTTTTAATCGGTTCTATCCTTAAAACGAAGAGATACAGTACATATGCTTAGAACCACTTGGTACCATTGTTCTTCATTTCTCCACGCATTGATCAAAATACACATGTACTTTAAAGTGAACTAAAAAAAAAAATTCACATGGAAATGTTCAACCAGGAATACCTCACAAAAAAGATAAAAAATAGAAGATAGGAACACAATGAATTTAATTAATAGGTACGGAAAGCATACAAAGATTAAGAAAGAAAAAGCATTCCTAGAAGAGATTCTAAGGCAAACTTGCTCTTTGGCCATTTTTGAACATGGGAAGTGTTCTTCATTTCAGATTAAGTAAACATTCAAGATAATTGCTTTATATCTAGGGATTGTATTCACACTATTTTGCAATGCAACAAAATACTGTTTCAGATCAAAATCTTCTTCCTATGGCAAAAAGCATTAGTGAAATATAAAATGGGGGAAGAAAATGTCAGATTTCCAACAAAATCAGCATCTGAGTATGCAAAAAGAGATAATAGTTTTAATAGCAAACAGTTTAAACAGAACTCTTTATTGCATTTTCAATGAAATCTTGACCGAATTCATTGTTTTATTACTAACTTGAGTTTTTTTTTGAAACAGACACATTCAAACTTTATAGTCAAGATATTCTGTATGAATATTTTTTTACAATTCGGCCTTTTCTAACCATTTCTTTTACAGTGAAATTTGATTCTTTGCCAAATAGTGAAACATTTACTATTTTTCGCTTTCGAATGCTTTTGTATCTTATTTATGTTCATTAAAATGACTTGACATAATTACAAACAAATTAAGTGAATATTTTACGAAAATCCTATACATTTCATTTCGGAGAAAATAACTTATATTTGGTCATATAAAAAGTCTCCGCGGTTTTTTGGTACATTTTTGGAAAAAAAAAATGTTCTTTATTGAAAATCAGTTTTAATGAAATACATATTGACTATTATTATGTATGACCTTTGGCCATCTTTTCGGGTAGCTTCATAATTCCATCGGTATAGAACTTCTGTGGTTTATCGTCGAAAAACATGGCCAAGTGATTTTCAGCGGCGCTTCAGTCGGCCAGTGTTTTCCCATCAAGAGAGTTTTGCAGAGCCCGAAACGAATGGTAGTCAGACGGTGCAAGGTCTGGGCTATACGGTGGGTGCATCAAACTTCCCAACCAAGTTCCGTCAATTTGTTCCGAGTCATCAAAAATGTGTGTGGCCACGCATTGTCATGATGGAACACAACTCTCTTTCTGTTGACGAATTCTGGCCGCTCTTCTTGAAGTGCTTCGTTCTAACGGTCGAGTTGTGTACAGTACAAGGCCGAATTGATGGTTCCACCAGGTTGCAGCAGCTCATAATAGACATTTCACTTCCAATCTTGACACGAAATTTCCGAAACGGAATCGAGCAAACAACTCCTAGGTCCTTCATTCACTCAGAGCATTCTCACCGTACACTTCGCAAATTTTTCAGGCATGTTACTGAAGTGTTTTTACATTTTTATAGTACAAAAAGCATCACATACCGTATTTCTTCAGATTTTCACTCATTTTCAAATCAATATATCGTTTGACAAGAGCAACAAATTAGGAAACTATTTTCACAAACAATGGAGGCTGAATGTCACCTTTTAAGCACATGTTCGTTTGAGACAATCGGGTGAGTGCTGCCGGATATATAGACATCAAAACCATCTAGTGGCAAAAAACCGCGGAGACATTTTATATGACCCAGTATACTCCCCCTTTTAAAGGGCGATTGGGAGATTAGGGGACCTAATCACAGAATTCTGCTGGTAAAAAATTATCGTCCATCACCTTTAATTTATGCAACTCGTGAAGTCATTAGAATTTTTCGATGTCAAGAAACTGAAGAAATCCGCAATGCCTTCGCCGGAATTCAAACTTCGAGCTTTCTGCATACGTTTAGAAGAGGATGCTTCCAGTTACACCACGAAAGGAGAGAGAAAATACTTTATAAATTTATGAAAGAACAGAGTTTTACGGATGTAAAGCGTAGGCATACCACAATTGGACAGAGTACACGAGGATAACGGAAACAGAAATTAGTTCACTGTACGAGGAATCAGATATTTTTAGCAATCGAAATTTTTTTATATATAATCATGTCTGTTTGTTATCAACATGTCGGTAAGCTTCGATTTTTATTAAAAGTTTAATTGTGCAAATCATACAAGTGTTAAAAATGGTGAAGATAAAATGAGAATTTTTACTTAAAATTATTTAATTATGAATGATTTTCTTCCAGCTGTCTAAAATTTTGAATTTAAATATTTGAATGGCAATCACTTTAAAATTGCTTCACAGGCACCGACCCTGATCTACGTCTGAAGATTTAAACCATAATTTTATTAAACTCTTTGCTTTCATATTATCATACACTATCTTCTGTTCAGCATAATTTTATTAATGAATCATGAGTTAGAATAACAATGAAATCTTTATTAAGAAGTTAGAGAGTTTGCTTAGCTCAAATAGAATACTAATCAAAGTTAACAATCTTTACTTAAATTGACGTGCTGAAAAAAGAAACTTCAAGAGACTCATTTATAAGTTTTAAATATTTTCAGGCGTACCTATTAGGCAACATTGTCGGGAGTATATTCCAAAAAAAGAAGGTAACATGGCTGAAAAGAATGAAGTTCAAGTACAATGTAAGTACAAAATCTTTTTAAGACTTCTGCTTTGTTGCGGCAAAGCTAGCGAACTATTAAAAATAACATTACCCTTTTGTGAATGGCATCACTTACGTTTTTGTATTCATAAATGTTTTTTGCTTGTTCTATACTTTATTTTTATGTTAGGAAATAAATAAGTATAAAATACTATTTCCTAATATGCTTCAAAACATAGGTTGAATCCTCTTGATAATATATCGCTGGGCTCTCGTTTTGTTTTGAAGCTGGCGAGTTTTATTATGCAAAAATGACACTAATTTATTCAAACGATTTTGTATGAATTATACTCCCCGGCAAATTACATAAGCAGGATTTGAAGTGTTCTTTCAAGATAATACAAATGACATTTCAATAAACATTTTAAACTAGACAGAATATGTTATGGCTTAAACTGAAACCACTTTTCAGCAAACATAACAACAGGAGCTTTCACAGATGACCTGCCTCAGCAGGCAGGTCGTCAGCAAAGCTCCTGTTTTATGTTAGTTTAAATGGGGTTTTAGCACGTAAATATTTTATCTTGTTTTAAGATCATTTTAACCCATATGGGCCGATATATTCTTCAATATCAATAAATGTTTCTGAAATGTTGGCTAAAAGTTAATGTGTACTGCTTAAAAACCAAAATGTTATGAAACACTTAGCTATCATGCTTAGAACATAATCTTATCCAGATAAATTAAAAAAAAAAAAAAAAAAGCGAGAAAGTAGTGTTATATAGATTGAAAGAAAATATAATTATTTCATCTCTTTCAATAATTGAGGGTTAAAAACATTTATGAAACTCATATTATCAATATGAGTTTAATAATTAATCAATAATTCTAAAACATATTTAACTAAATTCTGAGACAAAGAAATTTTACATTGATTTAAATGAAGTGCTTTTGTAAGATCTACCAAGAATATTATTTATTTTTATGAAAGTAATCAGTAGTGATTATAACCAAAATTTTATAGCTGTCAGAAATGTGATATAAATTAATTATGTTAATCTAAGGGATATCTAATAAAATTCTGCAAGACTTGTGAGTTTTAATGGCAACCAAAGCACCAAGGAAAACATGTCACCAAGTTTAGATGTCCTACTTTCCCCCCCCCCAAAAAAAAAAGGTTTTAAATAATGGATTTTTAACAGTAATGTTAAAAAAAATAATAATAAATAGAATAAAAATAAATGTGGAAAATTTATACATTTTCAAAAGTATAAATTCGTACTTAAAAAAAGTCGTTAACTTATTCAGCTAGTAAAAAATGGCAATAGCAACTAATATGAAATTAAAAAAAACCTTTTTGTTGTAATAGTAGACCCTTTTCTTGAAAGAATGCAATAGCTTCCACTTAATGGTAAACTAAAATTGGGTATCTTTCCATTAAAATGATTTAATCCAGATTTGTGATGTTAGGATCCACATTACACACATTTTCTGCAGCTTATTGACAGATTTTGATTAGTGTATTTTCACAACTTGGGCTTTCCACAATTTTATTGCATCTACCAATTTTAATGTTAGAACAAGATATTGAGGAAGATAAGTTATTCTAGTCAACCATATGTGTATTCTGATTACAACTTGAAATTTATGAAACGATAAGTTTACAAATGAACAGAGTTTATGGATGTTAAGTGTAGCATGCTACGGTTGGACAGAGTATACAAGGATAATGGAGATGGGGTATACAAGGATAATGGAAATGGGGTATACAAGGATAATGGGTCAGTTCACAGTATGGAAAATCAAATGTTTTTAGCAATCGAAATTTATTTCATATAGTCATGCATTGTTATCTAGATGATGATAAGATTAAATTTTGTTAAAATTTTAATTGTACAATTCATACAATTGTTAAACTGGCTAAAACAAAATAAGAAATTTTACTAAAATTGTTCATTAGAATTATGAATGTTTTTCATCCAAATATCCAAAATTTGGAATTTAAATATTTGAATGGCAGGCACTTTAAAACTGTTTCACAGGCACCTCTGTCTTCACACCTCTGTCTGAGGATTTAAATCATAATTTTGTTAACTGCTAACAATATTTTGTGGAACATTTTATATGAATTATACTCCCCAGCAAGATCACATTAGTAGGATTTAAAGTTTTCTTTCAAAATAATATAATGGAAACTTCAATAACCATTTAAAATGACACAATAATTTTTACCTTACAGACTGAAACCATTTTTAAACAAACATAACAATAGGAGCTTTCGCAGATGACCTGTCTGCTTCCTCGACAAAGCAGACAAGCTATGAAAGCTCTTGTTTTTATGTTTGTTTAGATGTGGTTCCAGCATATAAATATTTTATCTTCTTGATTGACTTGAAACTGTCGTTCGTAAAACTTACTAGACATTAAGTCTTGACAGCATAAGTAAATGAACTGCATGGCAGTAATGAAAGAAATGTGGGTTCCAACAAACTATGTTAGTGTTCAGACACCTTTTACTTCTTTGGATGAATGAAGGCTAAATAGTTACTTTAGTTTTGAGTCACATTTTAATTTCATGAAATGATTACTCAAATCCATTTTCCTTTATGAAGCACACCATTTTCGTGAACAAATAAAATAGCTGCTTGTTCATCTCTTGGCATAATCCCAAATTGTCTAATCCATTGCAGCAAAAAGTATGATTTAATGAAAAATATGGCTATGAACAACAGTTATCGCCAGGAAAGAACTTAAACCAGTCATTGTCTAGTACCAAGAAAATGACCCTCCCCGCTCCCCCCAAAAAAGCAACATATGATATGTCTTTAACTGAAAAGTACTAAAAACTGTCATTATTTTGAATTAAAAGAAAAAAAAAGTTGACAGAAGAGATTTTACAATCCTTATTATTTGCTTTTAGGTTTGCTTATAAAAAACATCATCAAACTTGGTGATTAATACTGTTTGTTAGTCAAATCTACACGTAACCACTAAATTATGATTTAAAGTTGCATTAAAAGAAATATAGATTGTAATATATAATATAATTAAAATGTAGGAAATGGATCTGTAATTCATTTGATATATAAAAATCAAAATTTCTAGAAAATTCTATCTGTGATGTATTGAATATTGATTATTCTAAAGCAGTTTTGATTAAGTATTAAAATGGGTTAAGAGCATTTGAAGGTTTACTGACTGAAATATTAATGAGAATTTAAATAAAAAATATTCTGATAGTTTCAACAAATATGAGAATTACAAATCAGTCTAATACAAAAAGATTAAATCTCTGAAATAACTATTATTAGTATAAATTGATCAGGAACATATTAAAAAATTGTCTGTCAGTATATTATGTCTTATATAAAAGTTTTGATAAAGTTTAGCATCTAGATAAAATATTTAAGGGGGCACAAGACTATTTAAGGATTTGGATGTTAACAAAATATTACTTGATTCTGATTCTTCATTACTTATAAATCTGATTAAAGATTCGATAATACATGAACTATGCTTTAAAAGTATTTTAAGATTTCTCCCTTCCTAAAGAGAGAATGCAAGGAGTAATACACATAGTGTAAAAACTCATGTCTGTAAAAAAATAAAAACATATTATCTTTGAATGAGAATTTGGTATTAAATCCAGATTTTCAAAATGTGTTAATTTTTTTCCTCTCCTCATGTCCTGTCTGTGGGGGATGTATACAATAAATTTTCAACAAAAAAACTCTCGGAAGAAGGAAAGGTAAGATAAATTGAATTTGGGAGAACAGATGAATTTAGGAGGACAAACACCAAATTTAAAATAGTTTTGAGTTTGCCAATCATTTCTTAGCGCATTTTTTTATATCTTACATGCATACACATACCATGAAAAAGTCCATTTTGGGATGAAGAGTCCTTTATTTTGTTTATATGTATAGATGTCACCAGAAAAAAATAGTCAAAATGGATATTTCTGTTGAACTATAATAACCGAAATTTTTCATGATTACAATACTTCCTTTATTTCATACAAAGAAATAAAAATGTATACAATTAAAAATTTACATATTATGTTAAATGTAACTAAGCAAAATCCGAAATGTATTAAGGCAAATTTGATTTTAGGCCTTAGTACCATTCATTCAAATTTCTTAAGCATGTTGTTGTTAGATCAAATGCTGTTATAATGTGCACAATAAAACAGTTTATGATTCTGAGAAAATCTAAATTCATCAAAATGGCTTATTACATTAATATAATAATGTTAACTCCCAATTAACCAAAGGCAAATTAAATGAGGTTTATATTTAAAAAAAAGTTTTGTTTATAGCAAAATGAGGCCCACCAGCGGCCGAGCGGTAAAATCGCTGAACATTGGTAGTTCGGTCTGAGGTTCGAATCCTGCGAACAGGCTGGCTGCATGGGCGTTTTCGTGGTTTTCCCCATGTGTAACGTGTATACGAGCCAGTTTCCCTTAGAAAGTCCTCCACGAAGGCATCCCTCCTCTTAGGCAGATAGCCCTCGAGGCTTTGCCATAATCACACACACACACACACACATATAGCAAAATGATTAAAAAAAATTACATATCATCACAACAGGCATCATCACAAGCTTTCCATACGGATACACAGTAGAGAAGAAACGGCATAGAGAACAGCGTTAGTATTAGTCCTTTTGGTGATTTTTTGATTTGGCTACAAACTTTTGTCACCAAGGCAGACCCATCTTTGATGATTGGAAAAAAAATTATGGATTGTCAACAAAACCAGTTAACAATAAATATATCTAGACTTAATAAAAATCCTAAAAAATGTGCTCTTTATTAGAATACTAGAAAAAAGGTCTTTCTCTAATTTTCAACACTTGGTACTGCTCAGACAAATTCCTGAAACACTGCCATATGTTATGAGTAATGAAATTTACAAGATTAATTAAATGGATTTTAAAGCTAGTACACATTACTTTAGTTTCTTAGATTCTGTTATTTAAAGTAAATAACCAAAAAAAAAAAAAGTTTCAAGTTGAAGTAAATCAAATTAAATTATCGTA